GCTGCTGCATGCACCTATGGAAGGTTATTGACCATGGTATAAACTTGTGAGGGATTTGGGTCACAGCCTGGGTCTCCGCCTAATCCCCCTCCCCAAATGAGGCGATTGGCCCTTGGCTTCAGTAGACACCCCCTGCTGGGACACTAGAAAAAGCTGTCAGGCCTGGAGAGAGGGTAGATGAAGAAGTTCTCCCTTTTAACATCAGGAACCAACTTTGGAAGAAAATGAACCCTTTTGTTTAGGACACTTGAACTCTGCTTAAATCCAGGACTTCTGCAAGTATTCTACCTTCTTAAATTTCTTTATGTTATCTCTCTGTTGTGTTGTTGCTCTCTCTATTTATATATATATATTGGTTACATATTTTCTGTAAATATTTTATTGCACCATTTTGACCCTTTTTAGTAATAAATCCTATTTTCTGAAAAGTGTTGAACTGTTTCTAAAGCTCTTTAATGCACCTAAACTGACAGGCCTGGCAAGGACAGCATTAATCAGAGAAGCAGCCAAGAGGTCCATGGGAACTCTGGAGGAGCTGCAGAGATCCACAGCTCAGGTGGGAGAATCTGTCCACAGGACAACTATTAGTCGTGCACTCCACAAATCTGACATAACAAAAGTGCTGCGCTATGTGAGATAATAATGATAAGTGTATATACCTGAGAATCAAAAAAACTCTCAACCCATATAGATGAAATGTGATACAGTAGCCCATGAATGTTGCGACATATCAAGATGATAAATGTACAAAAAATATTATATTATGAAACGTGCAATCATAAATAATAGTGACTCAACAAATAGTCCAAATGAATAAGAAGAAGTTCTTGATCCAATAATACAATTATTATGAACCGCAGTCCTGAAGAGAGTGAAGTGACATCCCAATGTGGAAATAAGACATCAGTGGAATCCTTCACCACTATGCACTCACCAGAACTTAAGTATAATAGGCTTGTAGTAAAAATCCTCCAAGGTATGCATGTCTCCTCCTCTCAAGGGCTGATATGTGGCCTTCAGTAATGTGTCCTAAAAAATGAGAGCTCACCACACAGAGCCCAAGATGGAGGTATATAGTGTAGTATTTATTAAAATTTGTTACAAACAAATACACACCACGTGGAACAAAGAAAATGCGGCCACACTTATCTGGCCTTTATGGAAGAGTGGCAAGAAGAAAGCCATTGTTGGAAGAAAGCCATAAGAAGTCCTGTTTGCAGTGTGTGAGAAGCCATGTGGGGGACACAGTAAACATGTGGAAGAAGGGGCTCTGGTCAGATGAGACCAAAATTGAACGTTTTGGCCTAAAAGTATAACACTATGTGTGGTGGAAAACTAACACTGCACATCACCCTGAAACCACCATCCCCACTGTGAAACATGGCGTCGGCAGCATCATGTGGTGGGGATGCTTTTCTTCAGCAGGGACAGGGAAGCTGGTTAGAGTTGATGGTAATGGTGCACTGAAATGAAAATTCTGGTGCCAAAACCAAAAATCCAGGATGCACTTGGCCGCAAACCGAAACCAAAATGGGCAATTTTTAAAAAATCAATATATATTTTTGGGAAAAAATACACTTTAATTAAAAAAAAAAAAAAAAACCCACAATATATACCCCACTTTTTTTGTATAATATGAAAGAGTATGTTATGGCAAGTAAATAGATACCCAACATACAAGATTTATCTGTGCTCAAATCCCAATAGCTAGTACATGCATATTGTAAAGCGTTGAGCAAACTGTTGGCGCTGTATAAATCCTGTATTATAATAATCTATCCATCAGGTGCTAAAGGGGTGCGACCACATATTAACACTAGAAATTCTGAAGAGCCCTCTGCACACTGCTACGTGGGTCAGTAGCCAGACCTAGGCCCGGTAGCTCAAAAAGACTTTTGTTGCGAAAGGGGGTCCTACAAGTATACAAGCTGAATACAAATATAACATGACAAAATGTGAAAGTTCAAGGGGTAGGAATAATTTTTCAAGACACTGTAGGCTTTTATCAGCATTTTTTGGTAGGAGTGTTTTCAGGCTGGAAAAAAACCCCAGAACTACTGAGTTTGCAGAGGAGTTTTTTCAAAAACGTTCTAATGCTGAAAAATGCTGGAAAACACTGAAAAATGTGGCAATTCAGTGTTTATGTGCGTTTTTGAGCCTCAAGATTTTGTGGGAGTATAGTTTTGTTAAAAATCACTAAAAACTCTGAAAAACGCTAATGCAAAGATGCTAAAAAACGCAACAAAACTCGTGTTTCTTTTTCTACAGCTAAGCTCGCTACTGGCGTTTTTACAACATCCAGTGTGCATGAGGCCTTAGAGTGGAGCACAGGGCTTGGCAGTGAAAGGGTTAAACAATGTTGGTAAAGAATCTTTGATAAGAAAGTTGGTCAGCCACAAGTCTGGGGAGCATTACCCCCCCAAAACAAATGAGAAAGATTCACTGACTACGGCTTTGATTTCAAAGTCACATGTCAGTGCGACTTCAGGTGCGACTTGTAAGACGTCTGTACAACTTCATGCACAAATGCCAATGCCAGTCCCACCAGAAGTCGGCAAAACTAGTGCAGGAACTAATTTTCAGCAATTGGAGTCGGACCAATTAGAACGGTTCCATTGCCAATCATAGGGTGTGACTTGATTTGAACTGTCAAATTGCATGACAAATCACATCAATGTGAACTGGAGTTGCCACTTCATCCCTTTAAACCCGAACACATATTACTGACATGGATGAAGTGGCAACCCTAGTGTGTGAATGGGGGGGAGGGCTTAGATATATTTACCTTTAAAACGTAACCAGCTGGTTTGCATTTACTCCACAAAAGAAAAAAAAAAGGTCTGAAAGTAACTGACCTGTGGAGCACAGAAGAGAGAGAAAAGCCAAACCACTCCTCCATTCATCATGTGGTTTGCTTCTCTTCTTGGTAAAGTGGTGACCATCCTGTCCTGTTAGCTGTTGAGAAGGTCGAGAAATGAAATGAAGAAATAACTGAAGCATGAAAAATTAATAATACTTTCACTTTCATGTTTGCACCTCCACGCCTCCTATTATTCAATCTATGAAAAGAATCTGTTAGAATCACAACTGAACTAGATCCAGGAGATCGATGTACTGAATTTAAGAGAAACCCCAAAAAGCCATAGAAAATGTTCAGATATATTGATTTTTAAAGAACCTGTTTTTGCTGTCATTGGTAAAAAAATGGGCATTGCTATGGAGTTATATTCCTTGAACGTACTGCTGTGTGATAACAGGAAGATATTTGAGCCAAAACCAGTCTGATCGGCATAAAGGTTGTGTCTTTGTTACTCATTCCCCTATACCTTCATTCCGGTCATGACTTTAAACTGGTTTGGTGAGTGATCTATGATCTGCAGCACACCAGACACGGCCCATCTATCTGTGGACTAATACATAAAGATTTAAAGGGACAATAAACTCTGGTATATAAAATAAATCAAATCAAGTTTATATTCTTAAAGGGTAACTCCACATTCATGGGGAAAAAAAAAAAAATAATAATAATTATATATATATAGTATACAATTGTGACTCACGTCATATTGTAATTAAATGTTATTAAGAATGACCTTTCCTTTTCATTCTGCAGAGCTGTAATTATCTGTAAAATGTAATATGGATCCCTGGAGACATTCTGTACACAGAGGGTGTACACCCCCCTAGAAATGTCATTTCCTGCTTGTGTGATTGGCTGTATGATTTACCCAGAAGTCTGCACTAAGATACAAGTCAGATTTTGGGCATCCCTACAACAAAAATGTAATTTGTGGCGAGATACTCCCAGAGGGAAATCATGTCTAAAGGGATGCAGACCCCGCCACTTTCCTCACTGGAGCCCTGCAACTGTAGCAGCTGATTGATAATTATAAAACCACTCCCATACAGATTCACTCTGCACATGGACACAGCCAGACAAACAGCTACTTTTTCAAAATAACAGAAGGTAGGAATCTGCAAAAAAGTTTGTTAAAATCCCCGCAATGTACAGAGATCACCTGGAGGGGAAGGGTTTGGGGTTTTTTTTTACAATTTAACTCAAAAAGGTCCCTTGTATTGCTTCCAGCTGCCTCCAAATCTCCAAACCTTTTTTGCTGCTGTGACTTCATTTTATTTATTATTATTTATTTATTTCAGGTACTTATATAGCGCCATCAATTTATGCAGCGCTTTACATATATATTGTACATTCACATCAGTCCCTAACCCTCAAGGGGGTGTACAATCTAAGGTCACTAACTCACATTCATACACATACTAGGGACAATTTAGAGAGAATCCAATTAACCTATCAGCATGTCTTTGGAGTGTGGGAGGAAACCAGAGTACCCGGAGGAAACCCACGCAGGCACAGGGAGAACATGCAAACTCCAGGCAGGTGATGCCGTGGTTGGGATTTAAACCAATGACCCTAGTACTGCCAGGCGGAAGTGCTAACCACTTAGCCACTGTGCTGCCCTAGAGGGTGGCTACGTTTATTCTTCATGGTCTCACTGTAAGTCAGAACTTAGCCAGCCTCTCTTGACTAAAGGGGTTGGACTAGGGACTATGGACAATAGCAAGGAGAGTCCTCCATTACATCAGAGTCCCCCTATATCAGGGTCCCCTTCATATTTCCCCCTTGCATCTGGTTCCCATCAGATTCCTCCATTACATCAGGGTTCCAATCAGAATCCCCCTTATATCAGGGTCCCAACAGAGTCCCTCCTTATATCAGGGTCCCCAATAGAGTCCCTCCTTATATCAGGGTCCCCAATAGAGTCCCTCCTTATATCAGGGTCCCAATAGAGTCCCTCCTCATATTAGGGTCCCCTTCTTATTCCTCTTATGTCAGGGTCCCCAACAGAGTCCCTCCTTATATCAGGGTCCCCATCAGAGTCCCTCCTTGTATCAGGGTCCCCATCGGAGCCCCCATACATTAGGGTTCCCATCAGAATTGATTTTGTGGAATATGATAGATCTGTAAATTAGATTGTAAATCACTGTTTATGTTCCAGAGTGGTATCCTATCCCTGATGAAGATACCTGTGATATATTTTCAAAATGCGTTGGTTTCCCTAGCTCAGCGGTCTCCAAACTTTATAAATGAAGGGCCAGTGTACTGTCCTTCAGACTTTAGGGGGGCCGGATTGGGGCCACTGGGAGTAGAAAGTGTCCTGGGATCAGTGAGTACACAAGCCTCATCATTGGTATTAATGGGAGGAATAGTGCCCCATTATTGGTGTCAATGAGAGGAATAGTGCCCCATCACAGGTATCAGTGGAAAGAATAGTGCCCCATCATTGGTGTCAGTGGGAGGAATAGTGCCCCATCACAGGTATCAGTGGAAAGAATAGTACCCCATCATTGGTGTCAGTGGGAGGAATAGTGTCCCATCATTGGTATCAGTGGGAGGAATAGTGCTCCATCACTGGTATCAATAGAAGGAATAGTGCCCCATCACTGGTATCAGTTAGAGGAATAGTGCCCCATCATTGGTATCAGTGGGAGGAATAGTGCCCCATCATTGGTATCAGTGGGAGGAATAGTGCCCCATCATTGGTATCAGTGGGAGGAATAGTGCCCCATCATTGGTATCAGTGGGATGGGAATAGTGCCCCCATCATTGTTATCAATGGAAGGAAATAGTGCCCCATCACTGGTATCAATGGAAGGAATAGTGCCCCATCACTGGTATCAATGGAAGGAATAGTGCCCATCACTGGTATCAATGGAAGGAATAGTGCCCCATCATTGGTATCAGTGGAGGAATAGTGCCCCATCATTGGTATCAGTGGGAGGAATAGTGCCCCATCACTGGTATCAATGGAAGGAATAGTTCCCATCATTGGTATCAATGGAAGGAATAGTGCCCCATCATTGGTATCAATGGAAGGAATAGTGCCCCATCATTGGTGTCAGTGGGAAAAATAGTTCCCATCATTGGTATCAGTGGGAGGAATAGTGCCCCATCACTTGTATCAATGGAAGGAATAGTGCCCCTTGGTGTCAAGTGGGGAAGGAATTAAGTGCCCATCATTGGTAAACAGTGGGAGGCACAATAGTGTTCCCCATCATTGGTATCAGTGGGAGGATAGTTGCGCCCATCATGGTATTTCCGTGGGAGGAACAGTGTCCTCCATCATTTGGAGTTGATGGGAGGAATAGTGCCCCCTCATATGTGTCAGTGGGAGGAATAGTGCCCCCATCATTGGATTTCATGCGGAGGAATAGTGCCCCATCATTGGTGTATCAGGGGGAGGAAAAATAGTGCCCCATCATTGGTATCGAGTGTGGAGGAATAGGGCCCCATCATTGGTATCAGGGGAAGGAATATGCCCCATCATTGGGGGTCAGTGGGGGATAGTGCCCATCTTGGGATCATGGGAGGAATGTGCCCCATCATTGTATCAGTGGGGGAAAAATGCCCCCTCATTGGGGTCATGGGGGAATATGCCCCATCTTTTTTTTCAATGGGGAATAGTGCCCCATTTGGGGGTCAATGGAGGAAAAATGCCCCATCTGGGGTCAATGGAGGATATGCCCCATTTGGGGTTTTATTTGGAATAATTGGCCCCTCATTGGGGTCAAAGGGGGGAAAAAGTGCCCCCTCATTGTTCAGGGGGGAATAGTGCCCCACATTGGTTGGGGGGGAAAAAGTGCCCCCTTTGGTTATGGGAGGAATAGTGCCCCCTCATTGGTAACAGTGGGAGGAATAGGCCCATCATTGGTTCAGGGAGGAATAGTCCCCATCATTGGTATCAGTGGGGGGGGAAAAGTGCCCATCATTGGGTCATGGGGGGGAATAGTGCCCCCTCATGGGTCATGGGAGGAATATGCTTAAATTTGGGTTTAGTGGAAAAAAAGTGCCCCATTTTTATTGG